CCCACCCGGCTTTTCTCGCCCCCTCGATGAGCGCCCGTGTCCATGGAGGATTCTCAACCTCGATTCGGAGTCTTTTCTACGCAACCCCTGGATCCCTCTTACCTTTCATCATCACCTCTCCTCCCCCCATCTGGTCCAAATTAGTAGGGTCTGGGTTATCCATATCAATCAGCCCACTCTGTACGCTGGACCTTCTACTACTTTGATTCACTCTAAATTTTTCCAATTTCTTTCTCTCTTACCCTACTCTCCCTTACCAGCGACCTTGTCCTCCCCTTACCCGCTTGACCTTGCTTACTCTGTCCTCCCAACCCCTCCCTCTTCTCCAGTTTCCCTAGATCAGAGTGCTCTGCTCCATTCCCCCTCCCTCTTATCTCAGCCTTCCGTTTTAGCCTTTCGCTCGTTTTCTTCCTCTCTACCCCTTGTTAGCCACCATTGTCCTTCATCTTCTCTTAGTTCTCCCTCTATTATGGCCCCTTCAGCTCCTCCTTGTTCTATCTCAGCCTCGCTGACCTGCTCTTCTGAAGCACTTCCTAACCTTCCCCATGACCTCTACCCATCTGACTTTGAACTATGCTTGAGGTCGTCTGAGGAAACTTAATACGTCCATCTCTCCCCTCTCGGCGTCCATCGGGGCAGAGAGGGTCGACGGGGATGGAATACCACAAGCCCGTGAGACTAAAGATTTTGCTACTCGCATCTCTCCCCCCTCGGTTAGGGTCAATGCCGAGGGGGTTGACGGGGATGGGAACGATAGGGAAAGGATTAGAATGCAAGAAATCTTTCGAGTAATGGTTTTCCATTACGAAGGCCCTGAAGGTCCTGCTCATCTTTTCCTACAATCGGATGCTCAGAGTCGCATGAAGGTGAGTACTAAAGGTCATCGAGAACTTCTTAGCCTCTTCTCTTTCGTCTCTTACAATGTCTCCCCTGTTGCTTACCTTCCTGCTACTGCCTTTTCTTCCTTTCTGAGGAGATCGCCCAGACTGGCTTCTCCTTCCTCATCTATCCCCAAGCAATGAGTATTCTTTCCTGGAACATAAGAGGCTTTGGTCAATCTTCAAAGAGTCACACAGTCAAGGATGTGATGTTCAAGCACCTTTCGGCTGTTCTAGCCCTTACTGAAACCAAGCTACCAGAGCCCACCCTTCTACAGATTCGCCAGGTTTGGGGTAGTAGACCTTGTCAATGGGTTGCACTACTCGCAGAAGGGGCTTCAAGGTGCATCTAGGTCGTCTGAAACCCTTCCGAACATCTTCTCTCCTCCCACATTGGGGTCTTCTTTGTTACCTTACTCCTTTCACCTGTCTCCAACGGGTTACAGTGGAAATTTTTTGCCATTTATGGCCCATGTTCTACCGCCTTTAGACCTTGTCTATGGGAGGAGTTGGACATGTTGGCTACCCTACCTCACCCCGTTTGGTGTCTAGGAGGGATTTCAATATTTCCAGATGGTCACATGAGAGAAACTCTAACCCCTCCATCACACAGAGTATGAATGATTTCTCGGACTTCATCTTCAGGAACGAACTACTAGATATACCTCTTCAAGGTAGCCGTTTTACTTAGTCCAACCACTCTCGTCAACCGTCCCTATCAAAACTTGATAGATTCCTTCTTTCTGTCAACTGGGAGGAAACCTTTTCAAGATCTCATGCCTTGGCCTTAACCAAATCCACCTCAGATTCTTCTTGATACTCAAGCTCTTAGTAGAGGCCCTAAACCTTTTCACTTTGAACTAGCCTGGCTTGAAGAAAAATCTCTAGTCACCCTCTTTCCGGCTTGGTGGAATTCTTTCTCTAGTTAGGTCTCGGGAAGAGCAAGGTATAGGCTCCAAACTAAAATAACTCCTCAAAGCATCCTTGAGGATGTGGCATAACTCTATCCCTGGGAATTATGGCCAAATCACGGAATCCCTCCTCAAATCCATTCAGGAAATAGACTGTACAGAGGAGTCTCTTCCTTTGACAGATGCCGAGTTCAACTTGAGGATCCAAAAAAAGATGGAATATTTCTCCGCTATAAAAAAAGAACTGTACTGGTTCCAGAGATCCAGAGTGAACTGGCTCCAAGTGGGAGACCAGAATACACGGTTCTTCCATCGGATAGCTAATTGTTGTAGGAGACAATACCATTTCGACCATCAAAGTCAACAACAGCTATCTGGTTCGACCTGACGAGATTGAACAGACAATTATTAACTACTTCCAGACTCTCTACTCTTCCCCTTAAGGTCCAAGACCTGTAATGGCGGACTTAGATTTCCTTTCCCTTACGGAAGCCTAGGTTCTGTGGCTAGAGCGGCCTTTTTTGGAAGAGGAAATTCTAAAAGCCATGGAAGATTTAGCTATGAACAAAGCTCCAGGACCGGATGGTTTTCCCATAGCTCCGTTTAAAATCTTCTAGGAAACCTTTTGGCCAGATTTCTTGAGTTTCATTGAGGAATTTTTCCACAGGGGGATTTTACACAAGGCCATCAATGCCACCTTTATTGCCCTAATACCAAAGGTGGAAGGGGCTGAGGATCTTAAGGATTTTCGCCCTATAAGCCTGCTTAATTCCTCTTACAAAATCCTGGCCAAAGTGCTGGCCACAAGGTTACAACAGGTCCTCCCCACTTATCTCTCAATCCCAATCGGCTTTCATCAAAGTCAGACAAATCGTAGTTGGAGCTCTACTAGCTCATGAGAGTATCCACTCTAGGCATTTGTCTAAATGGCCGAGACTCATTTTCAAGATTGATTGGGAGAAGGCCTACGACCATGTAGACTGGTCTCTTTTGGAAGAAGTCATGAGAAGAATGGGGTTCCGAAATCGTTGGAGGAATTGGATGAGAGGGTGTCTCTCTAAGCCTCACTTTTCGATCCTCATAAATGGTTCTCCAAAAGGTTTTTTCCCCTCTTTGAGGGGGATACGTCAAGGGGATCCTCTTTCCCCCTTCCTCTTTGCCATTGCAGCTGAAGTGTTCGGTCGTTCCATCTCCCGTCTATACCAAGTTGGTCTCCTTTCGGGTTTCAAGACCACTTCTCGAGGCCTAGTTGTGTCCCACCTGCAGTATCCAGATGACACACTCGTCTTCCTAGATGCATCCTCTCAAGAAGTCAAAAATCTGAGACTGTACCTCAAATGTTTTCAAGAGGCTACTGGTTTCAGAGTCAACATGGAAAAATCTAAGATAATGGGAGTAGTAATCTCTAGCGGTCAAATTCGGGAACTTATTCCTTCGTGGCAGTGCAAAGTGGAGGACCTTCCAACTATGTACCTAGGCTTGCCATTAGGTTTTGGAAAACCCAAAAAGAGACAATGGTCTCATGTCATAGACAAGGTCGATCGGCGATTGGTGGGTGGAATGGAAGATACCTTTCCCAGGTTTTACCACGTTTATCAAAGCAACCCTAGCCAACGCTCCGGTCTACCTCATGTCATTATTCTAAATGCCAATTTCTATGGCAAACAGGCTGGAACAACTAATGAGAAACTTCCTTTGGTCAGGCCAAGCAGAGAGATTAAAGTTTCACTTAATCTCTTGGGATAAAGTTTGCCCACCAAGACAACAGGGGGGCCTCGGGATCAAGATCCTAAGAAAACATAACCAGGCTCTCCTAGGTAAATGGTGGTGGCGTTTGGCTACCTAGACTGATTCTCTATGGGCACAGGTCTTGCGTAACAAATATAAGATTCCTGAAGGGACCGGGGTGCCAGAAGCAAGGAATCACAACAATGCCTCAGGAGCGTGGAAATCTTTCTCATCATCCCTCTCCCTCTTCAGGAACTTCATTCGATTCCATCCAAGGGAGGGAACAAGAGTGCGATTTTGGTCGGATATCTGGCTTGGACATATTCCCCTAAGGGACCTCTACACCTCCCTTTACCACATTGCTTCAAACAAAGAATCGACATTAGCAGAAGATATGGTAGTGGTGGGAAATCGAAGTGAGTGGAATCCATCTTTCAGAAGGAACCTCTTTGATGAGGAAACACTACACTTTCTCTCCCTGTTGGTAAACCTACACTCCTATAAAGCAAGAAAAGGGAGGGACATGTTGGTATGGTCCCCCGCACCCTCTGGTATGTTCTCGGTCGCATCCTTTTACAAAAAACTTATTCAGCCACCCACTTTTCCACAGAACCCCCCCCCCCCCCCCCCCCTCGCCGGTGTCATCCACGGTGTGTTCTACCATTGCACCCCCTAGAGTGAAGTTCTTCAACTGGATTGCGGGTTCACAAAGGGCCCTTAAAGTGGATCAACTCCAAAAACGAGGCATTCTTATTCCCGATAGACGTGTTTTATGTCAATGCGAAGAAGAATCAAACTCACATCTTTTCATTCATTGCAATATGGCCCATGACATATGGGAATTTTGCAGCTTTGCGGAGTTCAATGGGTCATGCCATCGACAGTCAAGGAACTCCTATCCTTTTTCCCTGCCACACACTGGCCCAAGGCAGGTCGAACCCTTTGGAAGGCAGCGGTGGCAGCCACAATTTGGAATATCTTGAAAGAAAGAAATTCCAGGATATTCCAAGGAAATGTTACTGAAGGCCCAACCTTACTCCACAAAATTATGTTGCGCTACGAACCACCAAATTTTTTCAGGGATCGCCGCTAACACTTTTTTAAGTCATTGGAAAAACATCTTGCGCTATAGTCCTCTCAAGATTAAGAGATCCCACAACTGGCAACTTCCCCTACAAGGAGTTGTCAAACTTAACTTTGACGGCTGTTCCATGGGAAACCCCGGTCATGCTGGAGCGGGAGGAGTTTTGACAAACCACAGTCGCACAATTTTGTTCACCTACTTAGAATATCTTGGCATCCAAGATTCTCAGCACGCTGAAGCTATGGCCATTCTTTTGGGCATCAAGAGCTTCAACCGATCCTGGGGGTAAAACCTAATAGTGGAGGGAGACGCTAGAAATATAATATCATGCGTTAGAGGGACTTCCTCTTCTCAATGGTATCTTGCTTTCATCTTTGACGAGATCGCTGACCTTTGCAGGGATATAAACGTCTCATGGACGCATACCTCGAGGATGTCAAACAAGCTAGCCGATCTCCAATTGAAGCCTCTTTCTTCGATTTGGATGACAGAGGGACCACGGTGTAGCACTGCGTGGCCGGCCATTTGTTGTTTGCTTAGGATCACAGACTCTCGGTGTAAAGGGGCAATACGAGAAGCCCATTTTTTGTAATCTCATTGTATACTTTGAATAACATTGGACATATCTATATGATCATTTTGTATAGGGTTGGTTGACCTATTTTTTATGAAGAGTCCTAGCATGGAGGGACTCTCGGCTCAAACACTCCATGTAAAAATTTATAGTTGCAATACAGTTAACTTTATCGAAAAAAAAGGATACTCGTGCGCAACTTTCCATTAGGGGAACAATGTCTTGGGAAAATTTGAGTTTCGACAGTCCCCATTTTTACTATTTCCAAACGGGTGAAAATCACAATAAAGAGGAAAGTTGTGTACTTTCTACTGTTATCAAACGCCACCTTAACTACTCAATAAGGTGGATCTTCTTGAGAGCCTTACTGCTCTTGGCTGCCCAATTTTATGGCCTCATACTCCCCAATTGCAGATCAATTCATTGCTATGGGCATCATAGGCTGAGCATCCTCCCCCACCCTTTCCTTCAAACTTGAAATTTTTATAGGCAGTAGGCCCTGAACTGATAAGCAATAGAAATCCTTTATTATTTGGTCAGAAGTCGTGGTGCTCAAGTTCTTCATTATTGGCTCTTGCAAGCCCTGCTTCCCCTAGGAAAGTTACCTAGTTTCATTACTTCAGTTCTCTGGTCATTTGATTGCCAAATCCTTTGAAGGGCGGCTTCATGTAATATTCTTGATCATGTCATTTGACTTTTTTTTGCATTACTGCAACATTCATAAACTCTTGCATGCATGCATACATGATAATCTGAATCACTATGCTTAAAAAATCGTATATTGTATCGACGTATATGATGTTCTTTGTCCTCTTCTGTTAAATTTTATTCAGTAGTCGAGTCTTCTGACATTGAACTTCGAGAAGTTTTGCTTGTATTAGTTTTGTAATGATGACCTTATATTTCACACTCTACTAGAAATTCTTTTGTTGATTGTCGAATGTTGTGATTTTATTTGGTTCTTTAGAATGAATGCTCTTGTATGCTATGCATGTGTGTGTGTGCATGTGATATGTGCATTTCATTGTGTCAGTTATATAGGAACCAAACTAGAAAGTGTATATGTGCTCAGCACATTCATCCAAGCGACAATCAGACACCTAAATTTGCGTATTAGAATTACACATTTTTGTTTGCGGGTCTTAGATATTTTCAGTTTGCTTTTAAGATATTGAGATAAGGAACACAGGGTTTTCATTCTGTTTCTTGGTATATGTCGAGCTCATCCAGGTGTTTTCGTGGCTGGGCTGTTAAGAGATTTTCCTCTATTATCTGCCCATGTTGAACACACTATTTCTTCTTTAACAGATTTTTGGTTTGTGACAAGCTTATTGGAGTTTTGGATGATGGCGCAAAAGGTTCGATTCAGTTTAGATGAATTGATCCTTTGCAGCTAAGGGCTGTTATACAGACTTGCGATGGTTCTTATGGGCCATGGAAAAATGTACGCAATTTGGATGTTTTCAATTTTTGATAGGTTTTCTTGGAATCAATGGGATGCATGGTGCATTCTGGTTACAACTTGTTGAATTTTACAAAAGATATTTTGAATCTTATTTCTAGAATTTGGAGCTTATTTCTCGAATTTGGACCATGCTCTCTCTCTCTCAAGGCCCTAGTGTACAGTTACACCAACAGGGTCTTATTGTAATCTCAAGGTTCTATGGTTTGGAATTACGTGATGGCAAATAAGGCAACTGAAATGATCAAAGTATGAATCAGAATCAGTGATTGATATTTGACTAAATAATTCCTTTCAAATGAATGGACTAAATTTCTGTGTTTTCAAGTCGATGATTATATAAAGGGAAAGATTTTTGTGTGATCTCAACAACATATAAGTTACATGTAACCCTTTCCTAGCCTTTTCGTTTACTTTTTCTACAATAAAATTTTGTGCGTCCTATCATAAACCTAGGGTGAACTTGGAAAAAAAAAACAAATATTTCCGATAAATATAATTAACCTAAATTCCCTTGATATTTTTAGGGATATTTTGGTAAATGTTTATCACAAGAAATATTTGTTTATTATTTTTATTATGTGCGTCCCTATCATATCTATGCATGCCCCAAAATTTCCTTCAAAATGATATATAGAATAAAAATTTTAAAAAAAAAAAAAACTATGAGCCATCCAATCAAAAATCTGACAGTTAAGAGCCAACTTGTGACAATGTGACCCAAACTGTCTCAGCCATCTAGTCAGATCTAATGGCTGAGATCATGTAAGCCATGTGAATTTTCTTGCCAAGCATCCATTCACCTCGATTAACATAAAACTTGGTGGATGATGGGCATCGCCATGTACAAGCCTTTCGCGAGCATTTTTGATAAAGTTATGCATTGAGAAAATTGATTTTGCATTCGCCAATATGACGATTTGAAGTCAGCCACCTTGATCACCAAACTAAGAGCCCAAGGGAGATATCTAATTCTTTGTATCCACAAATTCAAACCGAACCAAATCCAAATCTTCCATTTTGTGGTCAAAATTTTATTAATTTTTGCAATAACGGTGTATATGGCCCAATAACATAGCTGGCCGCGCTTTGATTCTAGAGAGAGAAATAGGAGAGAGAATGAATAAATAGATAAACACTTTGAGTTTAGAGAGAGAGAGAGAGAGAGATGGAGGGGGTCACGAGGGTCGATGCAAGGGGGGCTACAAAGCGTATGGGGAGGAAAAGAATGAGGACCTCCATTATCTTTTGGAACACTCAGGAAGGACCAGTTCTTCGATCTCCTCAAACTGTCAGATCCACTCTCTCTCTCTTTATGGGCCACGCGGTTCAAAGTTCATGCTTCTAAAGCTTCCTGTTCGTTTATCTTTCTTTTGGGTTTTGTTTTAGAGAGAGGGGGAGAGGGAGAGGGAGAGGGAGAGATGCGATGCATTTTGATGGGGGTTTTTGTGCTTGGGGTGATCCTCTTTACATCAATCCCAATGGGTTGTGTTCGTTTTAGTAGTGATGGGTTTTCTTGGGGGCGAAGAATTTTACTTAGTTTGATTATCTTGAGAGAGAGAGAGGATACATTCCGGTCATTTGCTGGTCTCTGCATTCTAGAGAGAGATGGATGGAGAGATGCATTTGGTTGTTTTATGGATTCTTGGACAGAGAAGAATGGGGAATGAGGTGATGCATTAAATAAAGAGAGACTTGATATAGGAGAAAGAGGGAGGTTATGCAATAGGTTTTATTCTTTCTCAATCTAACTCCATAGTTCTAGCTAGATAACGGGATATACGAGCGAGTAGTGGCTCTTTCTCTCTTTAAATTTATCATAGAGTAACGGCTCTTTCTCTCTCTAACTCTATCCCAGAGAGGTGCCTCGTATTTCAAACAATGGACAACAAATCTTAAAAAAAAAATTAAGAGGACGGGAGATTCGAACACTAGACAATATTTTTTTAATTTTGAAAGATATAAGCCCCTTGTATAGTGTTCGTATTACTAATCAGGGAGTAATTTGGGTAGTGTTCGTATTGTCGGACGGAAGGTAATTTGGGTATTACCAGATATGGGTAATTTGAATAGTGTTCATATTAACAGGGGGTAGCCGCTTGTAATTTAGGAACACAATTTTCCCATTTTATAATTGACCCCACGCCCGTACGTAATTTTCTCTTGACCACGAAAGGTGTGAACTAGTTTTTCTTTTTTCTTTTTTAAGGCCGCTCTCTCTCGTTAGGAGGGAAAAATTACTCATCTTTATTGTCAATTGTCATGGATAAGTATGGGCAATGGATGTTAAATGCAAGAACCCAATATTATACAAAGTTGTTATCATGCCTAATGTTTGACTGCGCCTAATGTTTGACTGCAAAATTTGGAATTGTAAACCATGAATTTCCATGAGCACTACAGTTTACATGGAACTAGCCAGACGGATGGTTGAGAATGCTTAGGAATGGACTCAAGGTATATATAGTCATGTTGGTGGATGTCACAAGACGTCTTAAGTTTCATTTTTATCATAAATAAATGACTCTTTTCCTATTGATCTGCTTTAGAAAAAAAAAAAACAGCTCAACTAGTCTTGGGTAAACCAAGTGTGCCAGGTGGGCTAAATCATTCCCCACCAATTATTACTCTTTACAACGGTCATTGTAAGTGAACCCAACTCACCTTGGGTGAGCCTAGAGTTCTTGCGAGCATTAGAATTCCCATTGTTTTTACAGGTTTGGTCTTCTGCAGTTTGCCAGCAGCCTAACGATCGTATGATACCAATAATGGAAGGTTGAGATGTGTCGTATCTCTCAGTCAATGTATCTCAAAAAATTTAACGACGTTAGACGTTGGGAGTAGAAATGACACTCCACAACCATCCCTTGTTTTCATTTGATGCTTGGGGTAGTGTTAGCAATTTGTAGGAAACTCTAATGTAAGCATAGGACATATGTTCTTGTCAAAAGCATAGGATATAGGTCCCTCGAATTAATTGGAAGTAAGAGCTGGCCATTCAACATCAAGTTTGAACTTACGTATCACTGGTTGAGCATCCATCACATACCTCGCTATTTTCAAAGGAAATTTACTTGCTATATTTTATATTTAGTTATGGAGGACAATAATTTTGCGTACCCTCATTACCATCCAAACTTCATCGTACAGTTACAGTTGTCTGACAGTATTTTTATTTTTATTTTTTTTACTAATCGGATGATGTGAAATTTGGAGGGTGTGTACATCTTAGTGATTCGCACCTAATAAAAATATGAAAATAATAATTCGTAAAATATAAATTGACCAAAATACCTTAAAAAATTTATGGGGGTATTTTTATCAATTTATATTTTACAAATTATTTTTTTTCATATTTTAATTAAGTACGTCTCACTAAGATGTACACACGCTCCAAATTTCAAGTAATTTGGATTTATAAATAAAAAATAAAAAATAAAACACTATCAGACAACTGTGACCGTGTGATGAAGTTTGGATAGTGATGAGGGTGGGCGAAATCATTGTTCATTCATTTTCGCCTAGGTGTTGGGAAGAGTTTTCCTTTAGTTATACTTATATTTAAGAAAGAAAAAAGTTTATATAACTTTGCAATTTTAAAATGTAGAATTACAAATTCACTTAAAAAAACCATTGGAAAATATTGTTTTTATGTTGAAAAAACCCATAAGTGTTAATCTCGACATCGAGATGTATGAATATGGATAAAAAAAAATAGATTTTAAGTCCCAAAAGTATTGTAACTTACAATACATTATAGAGACCATCCATTTTCAATATTTTCATAGATTTTTATAGATTGTGATGGCGAAATCTCTGTGCCTAGAAATAGGAATGTGAAGTTCTTTCTTTGGTTCTCACCAAAATATTTTGAATAGCTCTTTTTATTTTGCCTCATTATTTTACCTTATTTCAATGTTGGGCGGACAAAAAACAATATACTCATAGAATGAGCATAGTCGAGATGTGGATATTAAGATGGATGCGTAGCAAGACAAGAAGGGATAGAATTTGAAATGAATCTGTTCGAAAGAATTTAGGCGTCGCACCAATTAGTGATAAAATGAGATAGTATAGACTTAGGTGGGTTGGCCATGACTTTAATTATTTTTGGAGTTTAAAATTTTATAATTAGATATGAAAATAGATTTTCAGATAATCTTAAGAATTGTTTTCACCAAAATTACATGTTATGATAAAATTTGGAGGTACGCATTAATTGGATTGTTTAAGGTTGCAACCTCATAGAAACCACACCCTTTAAGGAAAGGAAAAGTTTATATTAGGTTGCAACCTTAAAATGTATAAGTACGGATGCAACTAAAAAATCGATTGGAAAAGGTTGTTTTAATGTTGAAAAATCCTCTAATTGAGCATCTCGATATATGATTATAAAAGAAAAAAGTATTTTGCGTCCCAAAAATAGTGCTTCTTAAAACACATTATCTAGACTGTCCATTTTCAAAATTTTCATATGTTTATAGATTTATTTGATTTTAACTATTTTTGGAGTTTAAAATTTTATAATTAGATATGAACATAGATTTTAGAATAATCTTAAGAATATTTTACATCAAAATTATATGTCATGATCAAATTTGAAGGTGCCCCTTTATTGGATGGTTTAAGGTTGCAACCTCTAATATATTTTAGATTTCTCATTCATGTTTTATTTTTTTATATTTTTTTTTGTATTTTTATTTTTCCCAAAATACTATTCATTTGTAACTAATAGTTCCATACTGTTCTGATCTTTACTTTTTACAAGGAATTATTTTTCCCAAAATACTATTCATTTGTAACTAAATAGTTCCATACTGTTCTGATTTACTTTTTACAAGGAATCAAATGGTCCGAAGCTATTAGTTATGAACAGCTTTAATATTTGCTTGTTTACGAGGAACAATGCGGTTCGGAACTAATAATTCCTTATTGTTTTGATCTATAGTTTGAAGCACAAAAATAATAGTAATGAATCAAAACAAACTGAATTTCAAACTGCTTTGATCCCTTAGGAATAAAAGCGGTCTAGAATTGTAGTTTCTAACCACTTAGATTCCTTACAATCAATGGCTCAAAACTAATAGTTTCAAACTGGGTCTCAAAACTAATAGTTTCAAACTGGGTGTCCTTCGGCGGAATTTTTTTAAAAAGAAACATGACAACTGACACAATCGTGAAACATAACATGTGAGGGACCTTTTTTTATATCATAAAAATTTAAGGATCCAAGCATAAATTTCGTATTTTAAATTTGGAATTGCATACTAGACCATTCACTTTTTGCAAAAATCTGATGTATTGGAATGCATCAGAACTTTCAAAAAATTTATTGTGGACAACTTTTTTAACAAATTATTTTGAAATTTATGCTTAATTAGCAACACATCCTTAACCACCCGATACACATCCAATAATCAATAATGATTGTGACTGTATAAATGGTGAATAGCCTCATTATATACCTTCGCTTTTAACCCTGTTTTCCTTCACAAAGCCAGTTTTGTCTCTCTATAGATATACCCGTGCTTCCAAGAACCATATTTTCCTCTCAGCTGATAAGTGGCAATTGCAGTAAGGGGCTTTGTGGTCAACCTCCCAGCCCTAGGTTCTTCTTTTTTGGTCGGATTGTTGATGAAGCCCGATCTACCATTTCCTTATTCCTTGTCGAGTATGATGTCGAACGCTTATTCTTCAAAGACTCGGACCACTGTTAAAGCTGACGAAACAACCAAACCTGATGCCTTATGATATTGGCTCTAATCAGCTTTGCTCAAACTTGGAACACCATGGTTATCTCAAGTTTTAGCGTTTTGGATTCGAAACTTCCCTATGTTGTGAGTTTAAAGACCGAGGTTAGAAGGGAAAGAGGAAAACGAGGGGAATGATCTCGAATAATGTTTTAAAAACTGAAATGGTAGGCTGAACCGTCACTAGCCAAACCAACAGGTCCATGGATCAGCTAGCTCAGATCATGTTTACCTGCAAAAGAATTTGAGAATAACAATAAAAAAATAAAACCGATCGAAATCACACAAGGTTTATTCCTTTTTTATTTACCTGGACCAGGTCCACATGGAATTTGAACAGATCAATCCAATCCACCTTCCAAAACATTGTTCAATAATACGGTGTGGATATTCTGTGTGATGACATCAAATGGCTCCAATTCCGGTCAATGTCAAGACATTTATGTATGGTCTTGAGACTAGGAAACTAGAAAAACCCCTCTTGATTTTGAGAGCGAGCATATAATTTTTCATCTAACCTCACCAGTACCCACAAAGTTTTTTGGGTCTTGAGATTCTTGGGATGTTCAATGTACTGCTAGATGTTCTTTGCTTGTAAAAGATGTACTCCTAGTGGACAAAACTGGAGAGCATGGTATTTATTTGTGATATAATGGCGGAATAAAATTCATATAGCAAACCCCAAAAAATTGGCATAAGGTTTAGACGAATATATTTCTTGCCAAACCTTGTAAAATCTTTAATCACTGAAGAGTTGGGTCGCAATGATGCTATTATTCAATTTCCGAATAGGAATAAGTTGTGAAGTGACAGGAATTTAGAGCATCTCAACAGCCCCTGTTTTCTCCAACCACATATAACATTATTCTTCATGCTCATCTACAACTCCAAGGGCAGCTGCCAGCACCATTTAACGCTTTTCAAGCAACTGGGTAAAAAAACAGCGGTTTTAAGAAGCTTAAGAGTATCTACAATAAGAGAAAAATGGCTTTCGGAAGCTCAGGGGTATCACTAGGCCCTATTTCTTTTGGGAAAGGAAGTGCAGAGTTGAAAGTAACATGGAGGTACCTGACGAACAAATCAAACAGAAAAAATGAGGTTTAATCTCAAGATTGATTTCAAGGTTAGGAGCCAAAATCACCCCAATGCTGTGTATTTAAATTACAAAGTATCATTCCGTAAATTCGAATTCAAAGAGGTCAGTCAGCTGATCCAAGTGGACTCGTATACTCATGCAGTCTTCTTTCATATTTTAGCCAATGCACTTTTCTCTATAGCACAACAAAACCCAAAACTACATTCCAAAAAAGGGGAAAAAAACAAAATCATGCAAATTTACAAATGAATAGGAACCAATCAATATCAAGAACAAAATCTTCCGCAAATAAATGAAGCTCACATTTAACCAAGTACTAAAATATGGGTTCGCCTCAAAACCTTAAAAAAATACAACCCAAGAGAAAAAAAAGGGAAAGAATGAATCATAAATACATCACATAATAAACCAAACGAAAGGCTTATCTATGCCTATGTCGAGAGAAGCCAGGAGATCCCACGGGTTGACTTCCTCTGTAATTTCTGCTTGGTGAATCCAGCGAGCCTCGATATGGAGGATACGTTGGTTGTGGTGGCTGTTGTGGAACTGATTCGAGGGGCAATGACGACTCCATGAAGCAGGATATGTTTATGTGAGTTCTCTCCAATTCAACTTCCAGAAGATCAGAGATGAACTGCTGTGCCATTGCCTGCAAAATTGTGTTTCCCAAAGTACCCTTAGAATATGAAGAAAACTCTAGATGGACGAAATATTTGCATGGATGTTATTCATGGGAAGGGAAGTTTGGTCAATTTTATTGTCATTACATTTGTGTGGGGATGACAACCATTATAATATTCCATTGAAAGGATAGAGAAAATCGACCAATCTGAAGTTCTTGGCGTCATGGGAAAGCATGTTTGATAGTCATTTCTTTAAGGCAAAGTATATCATAGTCCAATGGAGTATGATGTATGATACTCCAAATGGACATCCACCATTTGATCCAACGGTAGGTGGAGATCAACTGTACTTGGGTCCCCCATCGTGATCAAGCAGTTGATGCCCCCCATGGCATCATACCATATAGTCATATACTATACACCATTGGACTACAAAATACTTTCCCAAGAATAAAATGAAATCAAAGAAGAGCAGAACCAGACTTGAAATTTGAAATTCTACTTACAATCAAGTCATCTGGAGAAACAGTCTGTTTATCATCCATCAACGCCTCTTCACTCCCACGTGTAGGTCGACGATTATGCCCAGGATTCTCAACAGTCTCAGTTGATTCAGAGGCTTTCTCCAATAATAACCCTTTCAAAGAGTTCAAAGCTTCACGTGCATCAGGAGTGAAATATGCATGTAATATGGTCTCAAAGTACTCGAGCTGCAAGGTGGTCACAAGCATAGCACAGCTTACATGAGCGATTAACGCATGGTACTGTGTGTGTCTGTGTGTGTGTCACTAATGGAGCATAAATACGAGTGCAAGCTTTGAATTCTCTTATCGACTCTTTTTTCTCCAATTTCCGTACAATCTCTCTCTGAACTCCAAAACTAGAATTCCAACTATAATAGGACTTCCAACCAAACCAAACTTGTTTTTTTAGCATCATCCAATTTACCTAAAATCTCCCTCTAAATTTACAAATGATCTCCAAAACAAGAATTTTAACTATAATAGGACTTCCAACTAAATCAAACTTGTTTTTTTAGCATCATCCAATTTACCTAAAATCTCTCTCTAAACTTCACAAACGATCAAGTTAGTAGCATTTCCCATGGATTATCAAAAGAACAATACTTCTCTCAACAAAAACAATTATAAAGGAATGTGTCAGTATATATGCTTCTATATTGTATTTTGACCATTATTTATGTTTTAAAAAACTCTGCCTAACCCGGTCCCCCTGCCGGTCCCAAGCCTTGGGTAGAGGAGGATTTTGTTAGGCAGGCAACCAATATAAAACTTTGCCACAACTTTCCATGAACCCTTACCCCAAATAGTTGGGATAAGGCTCTAATGATTATGATGATGATGATGATGATTGATGTTTTCAATTATTAGGGATCATGTCTTTTACTTACAAAGATTATGTCCTCGATGAGTAGCAAGGTGTTATGAAGTATAATTACAAGAGATGCACAAAACAATGAGTTAGTAGACATTCCAATTCAAGGGAATGCTTTCACCTGGTCCAACCACTCTGCTCAACCCACTCTGGCGAAACTCGATAGATTCCTTGTGTCTCTGGATTGGGAAGTTTTGTTTCCTGATTCACATGCTTTAACCCTGCCAAAATCTACCTCTGACCATTGTCCCATTCTTTTGGATACTCAGTCGATTTGTAAGGGGCCAAATCCTTTTAGGTTTGAATTGGTGTGGTTGGAAGAGCAGTCCCTTCTGACCCTGATTCCTAGTTGGTGGAATTCTTTCTCCTCCCAAGTCTCAGGTAGAGACGGTTTTAAGTTACAAACAAAAATCCAGCTACTCAAAAAGTCTTTGAAAAGCTGGAAGCAGTCTCGGCCCGGTAATTTTACTCAGTTAAAAAGCTCTCTGCTCAACTCAATCCAAGACCTAGATAATATCGAAGAAGGCAGACCCCTCTCAGCTTCTAAAGCACAGCTTAGAACCCAAGCTAAGACGGATTACCTCTCTACTTTTAAGACGGAAGAGTTGTTTTGGTACCAAAGATCCCGGGTCAAATGGTTAAAAGCAGGGGACCAAAACACAGGTTTTTTTCATAATAGCCAACTGTAGGAGGAGGGAGAATCTGATATCCACCATTAAAGTGGATAATAGGATTCTAACTCTGCCACATGAAATTGAAGGGGCCATCCTTAATTACTTCAGGTTACTTTATATTGCTCCTGTGGGTCTCAAGCCGAGGATGACTACCTTAGATTTCCTTACTGTTCCTGGTCATTGGTCCAGTGTGCTGGAAGGACCTTTCACAGTAGAGGAAATATCTAAGGCCATTGACCAATTAGCCAATGACAAAGCTCCGGGGTCGGATGGTTTCCCCATGGCCCCCTTCAAATCTTTCTTGGGAATCTTCCTACCTGATACTAGGAGTTTCTTTGAGGAATTCTACCATAGGGGGATTGTCAATAGAGCTATCAATACTATCTTCTTAGCCCTTGTCCCCAAAAAAGAAGGTGCTGAAGAGCTCAAGGACTTTCACACTATCGGTCTGCATAACTCGACTTACAAAATTCTTGCCAAGGTCTTGGCTTCTAGACTCAAGCAGGTACTTCCTTTCATCATCTCGCATTCCCAATCTGCCTTTAACAAAGACAGGTTAATACTGGATGGTGTGCTAGTAGCTCATGAGTGTATCCACTCTAGGCACCTATCCAAGAAACCTCGATTGATTTTCAAAATCGATTGGGAAAAAGCATATGATCATGTTGACCGGTCATTACTAGATGAGACGATGGCGAGAATGAATTTTGGACCTCGATGGAGAAAATGGATACATGGATTTATTTCCAATCCCCATTTCTCGATCCTTATTAATGGAAGTCCCAAAGGCTTCTTTGCTGCTTCGAGAGGGCTCCGTCAAGGGGACCCATTATCTCCCTTTCTCTTTACAATAGTTGCTGAAAATTTTAGCAGGTCTCTCTCTCGTCTCTACCAGGAAGATCTGCTCTCAGCTTTCCATTGCAGTTCACATGGACCATTGGCATCACATCTGCAATACACAGATGATACCTTAGTCTTCTTAGATGTGGACTCTCAACAAATAGAAAAGCTCAGACTTTTCCTCAAATGCTTTGAAATTGCCACTGGTTTCAAAGTTAATATGGAAAAATCTAAGATGATAGGAGTGGGTCTTACCTCCCATGAAGTCAAAGCCTTGATTCCGTCCTGGAATTGTATTGTTGAGGATCTCCCAACCACCTATTTGGGAATACCTCTAGGATTAGGGAAACCAAAAAGAGACATTGGACCCCAGTGATTGATCGAGTTGACAAGCGTCTTGCTGGCGGAAAGGAAGGTTCTTATCTCTGGCCGGTTCCTCTACTTTGGTTAAGGCTACTCTGGCTAACTCCCCCATTTACCTAATGTCCATTTTCCATATGCCAGCCTCCGTGGCCAAAAGGTTGGACCAACTAATGAGGAACTTTCTATGGTCTGGCCAAGCCGAAAAATCGAGATATCACCCAATATCTTGGGATAGAGTCCGACTGCCCAAAGTCCAAGGTGGTTTAGGAATCAGAGACCTTAGAAAGCATAACTTGGCTTTGCTGGGAAAGTGGTGGTGGAGATTAGCCACCCAACCAAACTCTTTCTGGGCACAACTTTTTCGGAATAAGTATAACATCCCGGACCACTTGTGGGTGCCTGAGAGGCTAGCACGAAGCAGGGGTTCTGGAGTTTGAAGATCTGTAGCATCCTCCTTTGGTCATTCAAGAAGGTGCTTCGCTTCCACCCAAAACAAGGCAATAGAGTTCGCTTGTGGTCGGACTTGTGGATTGGACATGCTCACCTGTGGGACCAATTTCCCTTTTTCAAATTGTCGTTAACAATGAGTCCACAATTGAAGAAGAAATGATTTTAGCAGGGGGGAATAGAACTTGGAATCCCTTTTTCCGAAGGAATCTTAATGAAGAGGAGACCTTAGCCTTCACCACCCTCTCGGCTGCTCTACATTATGTTTTCTTACCTCCATCAGGGAATGACTCGTTGGTATGGACTCCTGCCCCCTCGGGGAAGTTCTCGGTAGCCTCTTTCTACAAGCTACATATCCAACCTCCTACCTTCCCTCTAAATCCCACCTCCCCTCTTTACAAAGTTTGGAACACAATCGCCCCTCCAAAAGTCCAGTCTTTTAACTGGATAGCTGGTTGTCAGCAGGCCCTCACGCCGGACCAGTTTCAAAAAAGAGGTCATCCACTTCCAAACAGATGTGTAATGTGTCTACAAGAGGAGTCGTCCAATCCCCACATCTTCCTTCACTGCAATATAGCTTTTGAACTTTGGACTCTGATCTTGAGGCTTTTCAAACTTAATTGGGTCCTCCCACCTTCGGTAAAAGATTTACTCCATCATTATTCAAGTGGTCCTTGGCCCTTAGCAGGAAGAACTTTGTGGAGGGCAACAATTGCTGCTACATTATGGGTCTTATGGCTTGAAAGGAATGAGAGGATCTTTCGAGGCCAAAGAAATGAAGTCTCTGGGCTATTCCACAAGGTTACAGCTAAGGTAGTTTTTTGGGCCTCCACCCATGGAGCCTTTAAAGGGATCCCCATGAGTTCCTTCCTCAGCCAATGGGACAACATTGTTTGACTCCAGCCTAGAAAGCTACTGAGAGCTCACAACTGGATGCCCCCCCTCCTGAAAATGCCATAAAGTTAAATTTTGATGGCTGTTCATTGGGGAATCCGGGTCATTCAGGAGTAGGGGGCGTCTTCAGAGACCACAACCGCAATGTTCTCACAACATTTTCTGAATATGTTGGCTATGGAGACTCACAACTTGCTGAAGCATTGGCTCTTCTAAAGGGCCTGAAATTTTTTGACCCATCTTGGGGTCAATCCTTAGTGGTGGAAGGAAACGCTAAAAACATTTTAAGTTGGGCAGCAGGCATTATTGATCCTCCCTGGTACCTATCTACGATATTTGATGAAATTTACCTCCTATGCAGGGATATCAATGTCTACTGGAGGCATACATAACAGACGTCGAACGAACTAGCCGACCTTCTAGCTAAAGACGGGGCGAGGCGCCAAACAGACATGGAAGACAATGAATGGTCCATCTCCTTGTTTGCATTGGTCCATTGAGGTCTCTAGAACTCATAATTTCTTTTGTGACTTCTTGTAAAAGGGTGTCTATAAGCCCATTTTTTGCTTGGCTATCTCTCTTCCCAATCTTTTGTGCTCCTTCTTTGTAAAGTAATACAATGTTAACATTATCAAAAGCAACGATGATAAAAAAGTTAGGAGGGGGGGATAAGTGTGTGACATGTCAATGCTGTTTCCATCACTCTATTTCCTTTGTATAGCATAGTTCGCTTTTCTGATCTTCACATGATTCAATAATTCAGAACTGCTAATCTCTGACTATATGGCTTGCCTCAGATTCCTACTACTTCACCATGGATAATTACTATTCCATGGATAGTGATAATGAACAACTTATTCAGAAAAAAAAAAAGGCTCAGTTGTAAGGAAAACAGGCGATCTGGCAGCATAGGTAAAGGTGCCTTCTAAAACACTCCATCTGTGGCAAACTTCCACAATCTGAGTACATAGGAATCAGCAATGCCTGTATCCCTGAATTCTAGTATGTTCCAAGGACAAGTTGTGACAACGACATGAACCTTGCTCCCAATTAAGAAATGAACAGCAAACACAATGAAAAAAGTTATAAACCAAAGAACAAATACCTAAAGAAATAAAACAGCAGAACAAATAAAACAGCAGAACCAATGGATATAAAAAGAAAAAAAAAACACACTATTTACCTCAAGCATAAGTTGGCAAAAACCATTTGTATCCAATGACTTCAGGGAACCATCTTTATTTTCATGGAAAAGACTGAGAAAAGTATCAATCAATCCCTCAACCAGAATGCTCAACATTTTCTCAAGATAGGGTTTTGCTCCTGCATAAACCTGCAACAAAATGATTAGTCATGTCAGTCATTTTATTTGCCAATCAACGTTAGAAAGACCTAATCAGCCCAATAATTATTAAAAATAATATATAAAAAAGAAAGCTTGCACAGGAATGTCAGTGGCCCAAATAACAGCCCCTAAATTCCAGCTGAGTAACAACATAGATTGAGAAAGGAGAGTTTGCTCCTTAAAAGGTAAAATGCTCCTGGAGAAGTCACAAGATGTGTTGGGGAGGCCTTCATTAACAATATAAGAGTCAAAGAACGGGGTAAGAAAGGGTTTAGCTAAACGAGATATTGCCTTTTGATATCATCTCATGTCATGACTATAGTAAGTAAATGATTAAACCTGGCAAATCATTAGTGGAGATGTGAGGCAAGGACATTACACAATATAAATTGAGATACTCTGAACATCATACTCCTTGCATGAACACCATGCTCCAAGTGTGAGCATAGCATACACCCATATGAGATATATATCAGAAATCATTGTTGGCATAATTAATGATTTATACAGTAAAATGGAAGACCAATAAACAACATCGATTTTAGTTCCACAAATATAAAGAGTGGCATAATAGGAAATTACTATAAGCACATTTATGCAATAAAGCAAGTATGAAAATGCTTTGATTCAGTAAGCAGTAACGGTGACGGCATTAAGAAATGAGCATAGTATGATTAACGATAGAAAATAAGCCATGAACCTCTGCATGCACAGCAACAAGTGTGTGCAGTAGCTCCACAGCTGCATCTCGTACACCCTGTAAAGCATGGCATTTCAAACTTAGTTGTGGAAGGAAAGGAGATTAGGATGTATCTTGAATGTAAACAGAAGAATCAAATATGTAATTTTTAACTATTTCTTTACTTTGACTGCAGGAGCACCTCCCCAATGAACTCCCCCATCCAATAGATATGTGGAAGCTGCAGATCTAATCAAGTTTGCCTATTGAACAAGACAACAGTTTCTTCTCAGAGGTCATAAGATCAAATGTAACAGTATATAATATGTGAAAAGAAAAATGGATATTCTGAACAAGCTCATAATACACCAGTACGTATATAAAGCATCATTGCAAGATATGGCATGATTGCATCCAAGAAGGCTAAAAAAATTCTATGAACACAGAAAAAGGCCATATGACGAAATTCACTTTTGCAATAAACAAACACACGAACTGGGATAAAGATATATTCCAATAAAGATCCATGTAGTCAATGAAGTACCAAAAGCATCTCCAAATCACAAAAGAACTAAAAAACAATCCAATCAACCCCAAATATGGAAGCTATGACCATATTTTTACCTAGTCAGCCACCCGCCCAAATAGCTTATTGGTTACATGATTGCCACTTGATGTCAGTGAAACTCATAACATTCAGCGACATGTTCTTTATTGTCTGCAAGCTACCACAAACCTTATCATCATCATCATCCGAGCCTTATCCCAACTATTTGGGTTGGTTTCGCCATAATGTTCTATCAAGTGCCATACCCTCAGTCAGACCATAAGTCACCCTATATCTTCCCATTACTTTCATCCATGTCCTTTGGGCCTTCTCCTGACCCTTTCAAAGCCTTTCACTTGAACCAAATCACCCACCCTAACCAATGTTGTTCTAGGTCGATGGTGCATATGGCCAACCCAGCTAAATCTAGTTCCCCTCATCTTATCGCTTATTGGAGCCAACCCTAAGTTCCCTCGGATGTACAGGTGGCAATGGGTCGTGTGACCCAGCCCGATGTCCTGGCCCTAAAAAGTAGGGCCTGGGACATAGAAGGTGGCTTGAGGGCCAGGCAACCACAACCCGACCCTCATTTTGCTTTACTTTTCCTTTTTATTCCTTTTAATTTTTTCTAGTTCAGTTCAGCCTGGCCTGGCCCTAAGAGGGCTAGGGCCGGACCAGAGTCCGGGCCGAGCCTGGGTCGACCTTACAGGGAATAAGGTCGGGTCAAGGCCAGCCCGGCCCAACCTGGCTCATTGCTAGCCCTAGATGTGTTCATTCCGAATTGTATCATTTCTTGTCTTGCTGCTCATCCATCTAGATATCCTCATCTCAGCTACACTCATTCGATGGATATATTGTTTCTTAACCGCTCAACATTCACCCCATAAAACATGGCTGGTCTTGCAACCGTCTTATAAAACTTTCCCTTCAGTTTTACTGGTATGCGATGATTACATAAAACTCTAGGAGCACATCTCCACTTTGTCTACCCAGCTCTAATTCGATGCACATCTTCCTCAATCTCTCCATTCTCATGCATTATCGATTTTAGATACTTCTTGGTTATCAATCTTAATTACTTCCTTGTTTCTACGTCTATTGTTACTAAACTTGTATTTCATATAATATGTCTTAGTCCAATTAATTTTAAAACCTTTACCTAAAGCATCCCTTGAAAGTTCTAACTTTTTGTTGACGTCCCATCCTATAGATGCCTAGTTAACTCATCCATAACTAAAATAAAGAGATATGGCTTCAGCATTGAGCCCTGACATAGGCCTACTGTCATTAAAAACTCATTTGTCTCTCCATTAATTGTCCTTACACTAGTTAGCGCTCTCTCGTACATATCTCTCACCATGTCAATTTATCCTTTAGAGACTCATTTTTTTTCCAACACCCACCAAATTAACTCTCTAGGTATGTTATTGCACGCTTTCTCTAAATTAGTAAAAACCATGTGAGGCCTTTTCTCTTCTCCCTAGACTTCTCAATCAATTGCCTACATAGGAAAATAGCCACACAAACCCTATAACAAGTGAAATCATCTCATAGCATTCTATAGGGAGCCCCCGCATCCCTATCATTGCTTCCAATCACACTTCTTTGAGTGCATTAAAATCAGTCCAAGCAAATCAATCATGCCAAAAGCTTTGTTCTTAGATTCTTATGATTTTCGCAAGCCAGCATTGATATTTGTGTTTTCAATTTCCAAACTATTACGCCCAATGTTTTTTAAAAGATGGACTGAGTCAACATGACTGCATATAATTAGGTAAACTCTAGAGAATAACATATGGAACTAACCTCTCCTGCATTCTAACTGTCTAAGTTTGTACTTCTCTTTGTGACACGAGGAAATAAGGGCCATTAATTTTCTAGAGAGAACCACAACTCTCTATCATTAACCCAATCCTCTATTTATCTCTCTCTCTAACTTGAATCCAGGAAGAGTAATATGGATTCACTTTCTCTGTAAAAAGAAAGGCTAACAACTTTCTTTTTGTCTGGGATTTTCTTTTATTTTTCTGTTAGTGAATTAAAAGGTACCAAATCTCTCTCTCTCTGATGCAAATAAAACTCTCTCCTCGCCCAACCGGGCCCCCGGCTAAGCCGCCAGCCCGTTTCCCTCCCTCCTTCTCTCTCTCTCTCTCTCTCTCTCTCTCTCTCTCTCTCTCTCTCACATAAAAGAAAACAAGTTCCACTTCTTCTTAACATACCTATTCATTGTCTTTTTGTCATTTTTTTTTCTCAGGCTACAAATGTTAGAAAGTGAGTAATGCAGCTCAAGAAGCTGCTTCACAAGTGCATTAATGACCTAATATTCATTTGGATCCTCTTTACACCCATTGCATTGTTAGCAAATATATTCTTCTTTCCGAATTTGTAACATCATAGATCTATGTATGCTTAGGACAATGAACATTACAGGTTTCTCTATAAATACTGAAAGACTGCAAATCTATATAATATATCTGAATCGTATAATCAATGCATGTCATATTACCATTGCATGGTGAAGGATTTACAGTAAACCAGGAATTCAAATAAATAGTTTGGTAATTTATTTTATGATATGCACTGAGTGCAATAACAAATTAAATATAAAATAATTATAATGTCCAATAAAAAGTACAATGAATAATTTATTTTACATGATAATGTGTTATATTTAAGTATGTTGTATAAAGTACTTTTATTTGATTTTCTGAATTCATTTAGATAATTTCTCTTCAAAAAATAAAAATTTAGAAAGTAGTTGAACCAACTTATATTGCTCCAGGCTCAAGTCTGATTTTAGGACATTCATCCCAACAAATATAATACAGGGAATCTGATGAGTCACAATATTCAAGAAGCTAATTCATTGAAATATGTCTAGAAATGAATGGAACGTATAAAAAGAAGCCTAGTCTACACATAACAGATTTTCAAAACTTGGTAACTAGGAAGAAAAATATGATTGAGTATACATACCTTTCCATATGTATAGTGGGCAAGGACTTTCTCCTCAAGGGCCGTAAAAGAGATCACTAGATCTCTAATGTCGCTCTCCCCTTCACTATCATTTTCCCTAGGAAAGATACATGAGCCACAGAGGAAAGGATAAGGTTCACATTTGCAAAAGAAAGAGCGGAAAACATCTAGATCAATTGGTGGTTTTAGAGGATATAACAAAAACAAGTAGGTAGATATATAAAAAGTTCGCACATTCAATTAAGGAATCTACAACAGAAAAACAGAACCAACTCTGAATGGATAGTGATTGAAGAGCATCAGCAGTTGACAGGATCACATTCACACATCATGAAGCACCTAATCCTAGTTTCTAGTAGACAAAACAATCAATTTTTAGGAATGCTGCTTATAGGCCCCATTAAAATAAGTTAACCATATGGACTATATATAATGTTATGATCATGCAAACATGTAAGTAATGTACATAAGTATACAAATGAGAGGTTTGCACATGCATATGCACGCGTTCACGAATGTGACATAAACAGGCACACACTCAACATGCTTCTCTATTTCTCCTAGTGCATTAAGCAACCAAGATTCTAACATGAACTTGCACACAATTTCAATATCTATAGTGCAGCAACTGTTATGGGTGCATGCCCATTAAAACTTGTGTAACTGTAACTCCTATGCATAATGGGACCCATGTAGTGATTCTTATGGTGTTATGGCCTCACGCCCATTAAAATTTGCAACTCCTATGAAGAGTGGACCTCATGCCCATTAGAAGCTGCTCCAATAATTATTGTAACTCCTGTTGTAATGGTTGTAAATCTTTTGCAAGTTGGTTGTTGACCATCCTATACTGTAACCACCATAGGAATAAGTGTATATATAGGGCACATTGCCCTACGATTTGTAGAATGTGAAAAACATATGTATTTACGTTATCTTGTGCTTTAAGATTACTCTCTATCTCTCTCTTCTCACCCAATCTTAACATGGTATCAGAGCAAGGCTTGAAACCCTAGGATATCCATTACTTACAGCAGTCCTAGAATCATGACTGTTCTTTCTTATTGGACTAAAAATTGTGGTGTATCAGCAACCTCATATTCCAAGTAAGATTATCTCACTTTCCTTTGCGAAAAGTAACTTTTATCCTAAACTTTTTCCATTTGACTATACCACACAAAAATTACACAAATATATTCCGTACCTATTGCATAGCGTTCTTGCCCAAAACGTAGGGGTTCAAGTACAAGAGAGAAGGAAAATGCCAGAAATAAAGCACAAATTTCTTTGGGAAGCAGTTTTTCTAACAATCTAGGATTGAAGATCACTACAGTTAAGCTAGATGGGAAAAACTAAGAATGGTCCAATCTGCCAAAATGTTCATAGGAAGCCGAAGAAAAATGGGTTATATTACAGGAAAAGTAAAAGAACCTCCCACAAATGATCCATCCCATGATGAATGGGAAGTTGAGAACTTGAAAGTAATGACATGGCTTCTTCATTCTATGCAGCCAAGTATCAATAGGGAACGTTGTTTTTTAAGACTGCAAAGGATACATGGAAGATAGTAGCCAAGAGATGTTGTTCCCAATGAGATGACATGGTTAGGATTTACCAACTGCATCGCAAAATAATAAATTTTCAAAAAGGCGAAACAACTGTGAAATCATACTTTGGGATAGTGAGGCAAAAATGGGAAGAAATAGACCACTATCAACCTATTAATCCCACAGTTGATGACATTAAAAAATAGGCCGAATAAAGAATGATCTCTGAGTTCTTAGCAGGCGTACATCCTAACTTTGAACTTCAGAGAGTACAAGTTCCAGGAAATGACAAATTTCCTTCTCTTGAATGTGTCTATAATTATGTGAGGGGGGAGGCCAGTAGAAAAGCTATTGCAGAAGGACAAAACTCAAAGCATCCATCATGAATGATCAGCCTTGGCAACAAGCTTCACGCAAGGAAAAATGGGTATGATAGGACCAAATCGTTCTGCACTATCTCCTGCTGAAAAGGAAAAATTCAAATGCGCCCTTTTTGGGAAGAGTGGACACACCCAAGTGCATTGTTGGGACTTGCATCCACACTTGAGACCAAAAGCAAGTAGTGCAAGTGCCAATACTGTATTAAGTGAGGGGGAGGAAACCTGAACCACAAAACGAATTTATCCAGGCCAAGAGAGCGGGACATCAAAAATTTACAGCACCAATTGACAGCTCTCAAGGTTCCTAAGCTCCAAAACATTGGTCGAGCAACTAAGCACATATGCAACTGCAAATCATGCGCCCAACTCCACCTCTTCTACATCCTGTATCATTGATTCAAGGGCCACTGATCATATGACTGGTAAGAAAATTGGTTACTTGTTTTTTTTTTCTCCTGATCCTAATGAAGTTAAACTTGTTAATGGGTCCATGACTAGTGCTTCTGAAAGTGGAATATATAAACTTTCATCATCGTTGTCCTTACCCTCTGTAATACATTTTTCCTTCCAATCTTCTCTCTGTTAGCAACATGACAAAACAACTAAACTGTAGTGTCACATTCTTTCCCTCACATTGCGCTTTTAGGACCTGAAAACAAGGAAGACAATTGGTGGTGGTCGTGAAAGCAATGGGTTGTACCTGTTCAACATGGAATGTACTTCTATTACTCGCAAATTCTGAGTCTAGAAGTTCTGAGCATGTCCTCTTGTGCACACCCTCTTACGTCACATATCTTTAAAAATCATTAATAGTTATTGTTTCCAGATTAAGTTTGTTCCTCAATTACAATGTGAGACATGTCAATTGTCTAAATATTGTAGAACGTCTTTTCCATGTAGTGAAAATAGAAGTTCTAAGCCATTCCATCTTGTTTATTCTAATGTTTGGGGGCCCGCAACTGTTATTTCTATTTCTGGATATAGGTATTTAATCTCATTCATCGATGACTACTCTTGTTATACTTGAATCTATCTTATTAAAAGTAGAGATGAAGTACCTTCAATAGTAAACATATTTCATAAAATGGTTCAGACCAGCGTTTCAAAAATCGCCGATCCGATCTGGAATCGAGCGATCCAGATTGGGTATCGGTGATAACCGATCCAAATGCAGTATCGGTAAAACCGAGCGGTTCCTACTTTTTTATTTTTCAATCCGATTTTCTTTTTATGCACCCACCCTAGTTTTTTTGAAATGTGATTGACAAATTTTTATGCCAACTGGCACTCCACCTTACTCCCCCCACGTGATTGCCAAATGTGATTGACAAATTTTTATGCCAACTGGCACTGCACCTTACTCCCCCCACGTGATTGCCAGATGTGATTGACAAATTTTTATCCCAACTGGCACTCCACCTTACTCCCCCCACGTGATTGCCAGCTTAAAAAGTCTCTACGTGCAATACGCACGCTTCACATGGCCAAGACAACATTCAACATAACCAAATCATTGGGTTTTTTTATATTATTCATTCTTCTCACATCGCTTCGATGTGGGATACATTTGTGAGTTGAAAAAACGCTAGCAACTATTATTAGCTTGGGATAAATTGCAGTGAGATGGTGTACGCGCGATGGTGTACGCACGACGGTGTACGCCTGTCATGAATAAGAAAGTTGTATGTCCGATTGTGGCAATGAAATTTGATGATAAAAAAAGAAAAAAAAACTATTAAAAATAATAATTAGGTGCCCATCACCCCTATCTTTCACCAAAAAAATTTAAATTTACTTACCAAAAAAACATAAAAACTCTATTAAGCTATTATATCATGGTATTATTTCATTATATGAGTAATAATTAATTAATTAGTTAATTAGGATTAAAAAATTAGTACTAACTCATAGGATAAAAAAAATAAAAAGTAATACAACAAGCAAAAAAAAATGTAGTACAACATCTTCTTTTGTCAACAAAAAAAAAAAAGATAATCAACAAATATCATATTTTTCTTGTTAAAAAAAAATAAAAGATAACACAATAGTATTTCTTGTCAAAAAAATAAAAGGTATTTCTTAATACAACTTAGGAATAAACGGTCTAATTATATTTTTTATTTTTATAACATGATGGTCTTTAACATAAATTTAGTAATATTAATTTAAAGATAGGATTCATACAATAAGGCCAATTGAAATCTCTCTCTTTCTACTAAAAATCTCTTCCACTAATTTATTCTAGAAACCTAAAAAATTAAAGAAAATTGGTACGCATTCTAATAATTTCTACATTGATAACCAAATCTTTTATTTTAGTTATTAATTTTTGTATTATAAATCATGTAGTGTACTATTTTTCTTACAGTTGTCAATAATACATTTTAAATTAGATGATATTATAAAATATTTTGGATTTGTTATTATTTATGTAATAAAATAACTATAAAATATTGTTGGTAAATAATATTATAGTTAGTTAGGTTGTAATAATTTGGGTTTTTTTAGCGGATTAGGGTTTTCCGACAATTAGAGATTTTAGTGGCCAATTTTTCATCGATTTAGTCAACTCTTTATTGTAGTCCATATATGATTATATACTTAATCCATGATAATTCTATGATTTATTTTGTGTGATGTAAATTTAATGGTCAACATAAGGTCATATAGGGAAAGAACATCTCAATATTCATAAATTGATGAAAACAATGAAAGTTAATAATGTAGTACCCCCATTTCTTATTGGATTCCTAAAAAACAACATTTATAATGAATTTTAATAATTGTTTTGAATTTTTTTTAGGCTTAATCCGAGCGATTTTGCCTGATTCCCAATCCGGATAGCCGATTCACCGATCCGGATCGGTTTTTGGGATGCCCGATCCGGGTCACTGATCCGTTTTTTAAACCAATGGTTCAGACCCAATTTGAGACCCGAAAAAAGAAAATTCCATTCTGACAATGCACGAGAGTATCTAAACCATGGATTAAAGAATTAACTTCTTGAAGATGATATAGAAACTTAAACATCATGTTGCTACACACAAAAACATAATGGTGTGAATGGAAAAATAAACACTGATTAGAAGTTCGATGGCATCTTAATAGAAATGAAGATTCCTAAGACATATTGGGATGAAACAGTTCTTACTGCTGCCTATATGATCAATAAAATGCTTACACTTGTTCTTGATGGTTCTTATCCTTTCAAACTTCTCTATCATACATTTGCTTTATTTCTCCTTCATGGAAAAGTTTTGGTTGTCTGCTTTGTGCATATACTGGTGCCGACTCGGAATAAATTAAGACCCCAATCTACCAGATGCGTGTTCTTAGGATACTTGATCTCTCAAAAAGGACACAAGTGTTAATGTCCAAAAACTAAAAGAAATTATATCTTAAAAGATGTTATTTTTCTTCCTAATGAGATTTAATATCCACTATCCCACCGAACAATCCTATTCCTCTTTCAATGATCATAGATAGTTCCAGTAATCCAACAAACGAACATGTGGAATCTACTAAGAAACAACTGAATGCATACACTCAAAAAGGAACAAGGGAAAGTCTAATGCAATCGATCAATCCCAACTCCTTGACTTGTCGGGTACTTCTTCTCCTCCTACCCCTATACCTTCTGAATTCAATTTACCTATGGCTATAAGAAGTGAAAATGGGCTTGTACTTCTTCTCATCCGATCAGTAAATTTGTTTCTTATGCTTCACTTTCACCTTCTTTTTGTGCATACCTTTGCTCTACGTCCTTTGTTTCTATTCTTAATCCAGATGCATTGGCTCATCCATAATGGAAAGCAACCATGATTAAGGAAATGATTGCCTTAGAGAAGCAGCGAACTTGGGATGTGATTGATCAGCCAAAAGGACAACATGTGGTAGGATGCAGGTGGATGTATACCTTGAAGCACAAGCTAGATGGCTTAATTGAGAGATACAAAGCTCGCCTAGTGGCTAAGGGTTTTAAACAGTTATATAGTCGATTATAAGGAGAATTTGCCTCCTGTTGCAAACTAGAAATTAGTCCAGGTACTTTTATCTATTACAATAGATAGGAAATTGCCATTCCACCTACTAGACGTGAAGAATGCTTCTCTCCATGGAGATCTACAAGAGGAACTGTATATGGAATTGCCACCTGGGTTTTATCCTCAAGGGAGAAAGGGAAGGTCTGCAAGTTGAGGAAAGCTATATATAGATTGAAACAGTCACCTCGGGCTTGGTTCGGAAAATTCAGTACAGCAATATGTCAATTCGGATTTCAAATAAGTGTTTCTTACCATTACGTATTTGTTAAAAGAGAATCTTGTTCTACCACAATACGGATAGTTTATGTGGATGATATTGTGCTCACAAGAAACAACGATCACAGAATTCAAAAAATGAAAGAGTTCTTGAGGGGTGTTTTTGACATCAAGGATCTTGGTCCATTGTTACTTCCTTGGAATAGGTGGCTAAGTCTAAACGGATTTTTTTTCTTTGCCTCAAAGGAAGTATATTGTTGATCTCCTCAATGATACACGAATGCTTAGAGCCAAACCAGTAAAATCTCCTTTAGAGGTTAATCACAAACTATATGATCAACAGTCAGAGCCTCTGAGTAACCATGGTATATATCAGAGATTAGTAGGTAGACTTATTTATTTAACTGTCACACGGCCAAATATTGCATATGTTGTAGGCATGGCAAGTCAGTTTATGCACGCACCATGCACCCATTGCTTGGAGGTTGTTTCGCATTTTAAGATATTTAAAATCTGCTCCAGTGAAAGGGCTACTTTATACTAGTCATGGTCATCTTGATGTACAAGGTTTCTATGATTCAGATGGGGCCCGATGTTCTCTTGATCGATGATCTACCAATGGCTACTTTATGACAGTGGGTGGTATTTAGTCACCTGGAAGAGAAAGAAGCACTTTGTAGCTCGATCTTCAGCAGAAGCCGAATATTGAGCAATGGCAAGTGCTACATATGAAATAATTTGGCTCCGTTCTCTTCTTGAAGAGATGGGTGTTAATGTATCAACTCCTATTTCTCTACATTGCGATAATCAAGTGGCAATTTATATTGCATCAAATCCTGCATTTCATAAAAGAACCAAGCATATTGAGGTTGACTGCCACTTTGTCAGAGACAATGTCGCTTAAAAGACAATATGTACTCCATTTGTTTGCTCCGAGAACTAATTGCCAGACATACTTACACCAAGGCCTCTAATCGAGTTCAACTAGAGGATACTTGGACCAGCTGGGCAGCTATGATATATATGCTCCAGCTTGAGGGGGAGTGTAGCAACTGTTATAAGCTCATGTCCATTAAAACCTATGTAACAGCTGTAATTCCCATGCATAATGGGCCTCATGTAGTGGCTGTAATGTTATTATAGGCTAAAGGATACTTTGGACGAGCTGGGCATCTACGATATATATGCTCCAACTTGTGGAGTGCAGCAACTATTATGAGCTCATGCCCATTAAAACCTATGTAATAGTTGCAACTCCTATGCATAATGGGCCTCATGTAGTGGCTGTTAAGTTGTTTTTTTTGTTTTTTGAACATGAAAGTGGCTATTAAGTTGTTATGGGCTCACGCCCACTAAAACATGCAACTTCTACAAATAATGGACCTCATGCCCATTAGATCCTGTTGCAACAATTATTGTAACTCTTGCTGTAATGGTTGTAATCTGTTGCATGTTGACCCACCCATACTGTAACCCCTATAGGAACTTGTGTATATATAGGCCACATCGCCCTACGATTTGTAGAGTGTGAAAAACATATATATTTACTTTATCTTGTGCTTGAATATTGATCTCTTTCTCTCTTTTCTCTAAATACATTTCAAAAACTCAATTCTACCTAACACGTGTTGGTCAGAGTCCTTGTATCACACAAACAACACATTGTATCGATCCTCCAAAACAATGATCTTCCAAACCTCTATAAAGAACAAGAGAAGCTTACACATGATTCATTTGAACTATTTTACATTTCAAAACTTAGATAAACAAAAGGTGCCATAACCACAGAAATAAACAAGCACAAACCAAAATCATCTACCATTTCTTCGCTAGTTTCAAAACAACTCCTTACATAGCCATCTAGTTTCAAAATATCTCTTTATATAGTTCATGGAAGGTAAGAAACCAGAGAATCAACACAATGAACTGCCATAAAGCATAACAGTAACCCAAGAGGAAAAATAATAAGAATTAGACCTTTTACATCAATAATACTATAACTATTAAAAGAAGTCAGTCTTTTAAATACAATGGCAGGACGAACCTTCAGAAAAAATTTGTGTTCCCTTTTAACAATCAATGAAAGTAAACAGAACAAGCATTTAAAACTTTCAGCTAAAACTAACCTTGATGTGATCCAGATATGCTTGTACTTAGTATACAACTCGCGGGAAAGTTGTTCTTTGCAATATCCAATGTTACTCAAAACTATCAATAGTTTCTGATGTGAATCAGTGACCACACTACCAGGGTGAAGACCAGAATATTTCCCTTCTGAATCAGGCAAATACCCATTTTGTAAACTTAAACTGTCCTTGTTCGATCTGTTTTGAGATAGTTCACGACCAATACGCTCTAGGTATCCTGCCAAAAGAAGGTCATAATAACTCATGCTGAAACAGGGCAAAAACAAAGGACACTGCATGAACAGGCAAAACAGCACATACAGCAGGCAGCTGCATCTCTGGCTTACCTGTAAAATCAATAAAGCAATTCAGAAAAGCCAGCCTCACAGATTCCTGCATTTCTTGAACTCGCATGGTCATGTTGCCAGAGATTGTTGTCTCACTCTTAAGGCTTTTAACCATTCTAGAAAAAAACGATCATAAATTCAATGACAGAGAAGCAAATTAAAATATATCATTAAAAGTTCACTGAAAAAGCCACTAGGTAAACTAACTTCACAACAAATGGATTTGTTTTGAAAAACCAAGCTTCCCATTGAACATCTTGTCGATCACATTGGGTATTTGACGGATTGACAACCCTATCGAATTTGAACACTGAGAACAATGTAAAGTACAGATGTCTTAACTCTGAAATTTAGAGGTTAAAGATGCAGCACATGACATATACAACACAATTTCGCAGCCATCATCATGATTAGCCAGGAGTTAAGACTAAATCCTAAAACTCCAATTATTCCCTGACCAGTCCCAGCCAGCCAGCCTATCAACAATCAAATTGGTTTATTTGCATTTGGCCCATGGCATAGAAAACATATGTCCATGAGACATACCCATAATCTCATAAAAGAGTTTGCACATCTACTCATTCAAATGCACTGAAAAATCCACCTCAAATATGAAAACTCCTTATATTGCATTTACTTAAAGAATGGTGGAAATGGAGAAGCCCAACTATGTAGCATTTCAATATTCTAGACATGAATTAGCAGCACTAGTACCACCATATCAATGAAAAGATGCATTATGCACCGCTATACATTTGGCAAACCTTTTCTCAGTTTACTTAGAAATGTGGAAAGAATTTCTCACAATAATGAAAACCCTACCCTTGGTCTAAGAGGGGTGATGTCCTTAAACTTCCCCGAAACCTGTACCATGTCTGGGTATAAGGGCTGGGTTGTGTTCGGTAGGTAGCCAACGTAAAATTTTGCCAAAACTTATCATGAATCCTAAACACAGACCAAGATTCGTGTAACCGACTCCAATCAATTGGGAAAAGGTTATGATGATGATGATGATGATGAATGAAAGCCCTACCCTCACATACAACAGTTTAGAAATAGGGAAAGGATTTCTTGCAATAACGATAGCCATACCCTCATGTACAACACTTTACCAACTTAGTTAAAAGGAAAAAGTTACAAAGTTGCACAGGCACCTTACTTCCATAAGAAAAATTCTGTTCTAAAGCCCACCAAGTCAAATCAAACTCACTAAAGCGACTTGGCATGCACCAGGCGAGTCTCAAGTTTCTATTACAAGACTTGAACCAAGTCTTTTTACCTCTACTATTTTTTCAAGAGAGAGTTGAGTTTCGGTGAGACTCGAGTAAGACTAATAGACCCGATATGACTAAGCTTGGCACAGAACGACTCCCAAAGGCCCGAGTTTCAATTCACTAAAGAAAATTAACAACCCAAAGGACAGAACTCTCCATAGATGGCAGACACTCAAAACCACTTGACCACAGCCATGAACAGAATATCGCTTGACATGAACATCCTCAATGCTAAGTTATGAAATACCATCAGAATATACCAGGTACCAACTAGGTCTATTGAATCACATGCTTCATGGATCCATAACATAACAATGATAAGTGTCAATCACATTTTCACGACTGTTACAGACACATGTTTTACCGCATGTCTCGACATGCCAGACACTGCTAGATACTTGCATGTTTGACATTTGTGTCACACAAGCAGACACCACATGTCTTGATAAGACGCTTGCTTCTACACGTATGTCCAAATTTTAGATGCATATCCGCAATTTCCAAACACACTTGTATCAGTTAGATGCTTGCGACAAGAGTTTTGGACACGTCCAAATTCTAGACATGTCCAATCTCATATACTATCATTTTGGCAATCATTTCCATAACTATGGACAGTCTAAGATCTAAATGTGTCAATAATCAGTGATTCAGAGCTCGGTCAGGACTTGCAAGGATCAGTGGGCTGAATTGGTCAAGTCTAGGAGACCTGCCCAAATCACCAATTATCAGCCAAGTCTCTGACAAAAAACATAGTAGGGTCCCTAAATCAGTGAGAGCCGGGAGAGCCCTGGACACAGGCAACTTGCCAGGTCAAGTGACTCAGGCAAGTCCAAGCCTAAGCCAACAAGTTTAAAGCACTGCAAACAATTTTAAATTATTATTATTTAATAGATAAATTAAAGTTATATGTAAACCCAATATATATAGCCGAACACCTTAGTATTCTATGCACATGTACAAACATGTCATGACCAACACCTGTTTTGAAGGTGGTGTCAGTCACAGCATAACCGTGTCTGATGCCAACACGTTCTTGTGTCCTTGAAAGTTAAGTACAACAAAAAGAATCAATATTGAACTGCAACGGTGCCACACTGTGCAAATAAAACATCATCAGAAAAATGAAGAATCTTGAAATGTGATGTATTTTATCCATCAGAACATAACAACGAAAAATTGCATACTTACAAATCAACCTGATCCATTGCCGAGATCAGCATTATACTAAATGCTAGAGGCAAGAACGATATTGTATATGGAGACTTGCTCCGCTCAAGAATAGACACGGGTACCCACAATTCTTCCCTAGATATCTCTTCTGTTGCCGCTCTCATCCATGAGCAAATTCTTAATACAAAGATTTTTGTGATTTCCATGTGAAGGGACAACAATGATTTAACTGGAAGAAACAGGTGATATAAGTTACCATAAAACTGCATTTCCTGCAGATTAAATAATGTAGTGCAAAAAGCAAAATATTTTTACCAGCACTTGGAGGAGCAGCCTCTTTTCCTTCAAAAGCGTGGCAAGCCTTAGATACTTCCTTAATGGCGTCCCTCATATGTGGATGGAGAACATTAGATTCTTCAAGATCTCGAAATGTGTTATGGACCTGCAAAAATCAATAAACCAAATATACCAACATTTGACACTGATAGATAGAATCATTAAAAGTGGATGATGTGACACATCTAAAAACCATTACAAGCAAAGAAATCAAATTCAAGGTGAACAAAGTGGAAAGAGAAAATATTTTTCATTTTCACAGGGTACAACTGCAAATGTGAAAAGAAGAAAGATATCAACGTTTTCAGGACGCAGGATGGTGGGCAATAAATCATTTGCTAGAAAACAATTTTCTCAAAATGAGACAAGCAATCAACCAATCTGTGTTTAAAACCTCGGGGAGTCCAACTCAAACTTGCCAAAGTCATTCGGCACTAGCAGTTACACACCCTGCCTTCTAGATGACCCCGACTCAGGTTATTTGAGTCTCAACAGAGACCTTACAAAACCAGTTAGCCAATTCCAAGTCTTAACTGGTCACACTTGGGACACGAGCCTACTTGGACCCACCCAGTTCCATGTTTTAAAACACTGGAATAGAACAGTGAAGAGGGACAGAGACATGACGTATTGTAATTCATGTCTGGACTGTCAAACAGGTTGGTGGGTCGGCCTGACCAAGGTTCAGACATGGATTCCCCTAGTCGGGCTGAGTTCGGTCAGGATTAGGCCTGAACTGTTGAGTCCAAGGTTGGACCTAGGTCGCCCAGGCAATCCCCAAGGTTGAACCTATAGGGGTCCAGGTCCAGATCCACCACCTAGACCCAAAGGCTTGGGTCCAAGTCTGACAAACCTGGACCTGATCAGGTCTAGATCCAAATTTGGGTTGCCCAACTGGCTTACAGCCCTATTCATGTCACAGACAAATGAAATTCATGGGAGATAAAAAATCATAAAGAAAGTATCATACCTCAGACACTATTTTGAAGGCCATAAATTGCATTCAGGTAGGTTCCTCATTTGGATGCTACAATGGATACATGGGAATGCCTTGTGCAGACACACTGCCATTTGCCAATCGTAATCAAGAATCATGAAAGCCACTTTGAAGTTAGAAGTGTCACATGCTTGAAGTGTCACATGCTTGCCTCTTAGATGCATTTACACGAGATGAAGCCAAGTCCCTAAGATGCTGCAGGTCCAGCACCTCCCATTGGAATCTCTAAGTCTTCGAGAAGGCTAACATTCAGGTTCGTTTCATTTTTGGATGTCACAGACGTCACATGGAAATGGCTTCTCTCAGCTCACAGTTTTGCCCACATGCTATGTACCAAGCAAATCCTTACTCAAAAGCCATGGGGTGAAACAAGGACTCGGAATGGAAGCCACAAGGGTGCCAAGCCCAAGTTAGATCAACAGACTCTGCCAAGTCTGCACAAAAAGTTCCAAAAATAAAAGAAGCCTGACATAATAGGCTGGTTCCCATTTGTTTGGTTAGGAGACACGCAAGGTGCCAAGCCCCAGTAACTCCAGCAAATCCTTTTCCTTCACTGCTCAAAAGTCATGGAGCAACTTCTAAAGGGTAATGGGCATGCTTTTTTGGGTGTATTATAGAAGGCTCACGAGGGAAAACTCTCTTTAGGTTGGCTAGAATTCCTATAGTAGTGCTGGATGCAATCCACAACAAATAATGAATAGAGAGAGTGATCTACAGTCATCTAACCATAGTTCTCTGCAGAAATGTGTTTGAAAATAATAAATTCCTAAAATATCCCTACTTTTCCAGCAGAACATAAATGCTCAGATGCACTGAGATGACCAGCAAGGTCTGCCGCTTCCTAGGTGTATCTAGGCACGATGGAAGGACACTAAGAACGATCTCTTTCTTCACTACACTTTCTACAGCTCTAAAATGTGGAGAAGCGAATGAGACCATTGGAGAAGGAATTCTATATACCCTATAGGGCACGTTTGACAGATAGCCAAGGCTGGCATCAGGGATAACCGAGGTATCCCTGAAGTGTATGGTAGTTCCACTTTTGATGACAAGGATTAGCTATAGTGATTGGGGACAAGAATGTCCCCATCCCCCATAAAAGGGGATGCGGGTAAACAGATGCAGAAGTGGTTTTCTAGAATTCCAATACTTTGGGTTTCTGCAGAACCCCGAAACTCGTGGAACAACCATCCCTTCTACAAAACTAGTACCCCCTCTGTTGACCTCCACCAAATGACCACACCCTCTTACAAATGACCACCCTCTTAGAAAAGGTTATCAACAAGGTACTGTTAGCTCATGGTCTCCAGAACCTCGGTTCTGAGCAGCCAGGATTTCCAAAACCCATGGATTTTCCAAATCCCAACTCCGCCTTGGCCGGCCCCATGCCGGTCCCAAGCCTCGGTAAAGGAGGAGGGTTGTATTAGGTAGGCAACCAGGATAAAACTTTGCCACATTTTTATCATGAATTCTAGCCGACCCCAATTAGTTGGGACATGGCTCGGATGATGACGATGTTGATGATGGATTTTCCAGATCCCCTGTCAAATGTGCCATTAGGGTGTGGAACAGAAGTCACCAAGAGATACAAAGTACTTCACTATTGTTCATGAGCAACAATGGGTCATCATAGTAAAAAACAATGATCCACTAAATCGTTTCAGTAATATATGCATATTCGTGGTATACAGATTGAAGCTTCACATCAGAATGTATAACAGTAGTTTAGTTATCATGTAAAGCAAGTATCACATCATCCTCTAATATAGTTTCAGCAAAGTAGAAACTGAGAAAGGTCCTTCGAAATTCGCAAGAAATATATAATAATTCTAAGACAAATAGCTTATCCACAAGGAAGGATCAACTAAGAGGAAAGCCAAACTGACAGTAAGATATCACTTATTCTTTCAATCTACAAAACAAAAAACAAACAGTTAAGTATGAGGAAAACCTTTGTTTCATATATCAATACAGTGCCTTGTACCATCTCAGCAACTTCATCAAGAGAATGACTAGAACATTTCATCTCCCCAAATCTATCTTCAGTCTTATGTGTAGTAGCCTTGCCATTTGGTTCTACGCTGTCAGCCGCAACTTGAGAAGACTGTCACAAAACAATAGCTTCATAGATATAACGGAAGAGCACTTTCGCGTTAAACAGTTAGTATTTTGACATTATTACCTACAGAAACCATCATTGGTTTTTGCTAATTCATCCTCCCCAATTTTGGAAGGCCTTAGAGGCAATTATTTGTACACAAAATCATAGGATCCACGCTCTTGCGCTCTTCAAACAAGATAGTGACAAGACATTGCAAAAAAAAAAAAAATTTCAAAAATGTTTTTTCATTTGAGGAGATAGAAAATGCAGTGCATACGAGCCTTCCCTTTTAAGGGATTTATTTGATTCCAAATTTTGAAGATTGCCTCATCATCACCAAATGAACAGTTAAAAAATTGACTTTGAGTTCTTAAAGGGCTAGATCCAACGACCCATGATACAGACAGTCTGCGCTCAATGTTCAAAAAACCATTTTCTTCTTAATTTTTTCACAATGGGCTTCTTAATTGGATCCAAGAGAATGTGTGCTCACCAAGTCAAAAAAAAAAAAAGAACATTTCCCGGGGCGTTATTCAAATTTTTTTTTCGGGGCTTCTCTGTCAAGTTCAAGCGAATGCATGTACCATGTTTAGGCCAAAGGGCATTTGTTTTCCACACAACCAAACACCCACACTCATGTGAGCATAAAAGAATCAAGTTGGTAATTGAATTGTAGCAATAACTACAAAAATTTACTCTACATATGAACTCAAATATCATCATCTTAAACCAAGATGAAACACCAGTATTGGACTCCAGTTTCACAAAGAATCTGCAGATATGCTCATTACAATGTATAAAAGGACCTCCTTTCTCCCAAAACAGGAATTAGTAATCCGAAGTTACTACCTTCCATGCTCATCAAATCTCTGGTGAGTGAAAGTGGAACTAAAGAGAGAGAAAATGATCTGGGCAGACTGACCGCCACAGAGTTTCAAGATAAGAACAAGAGAAATTTAATTCTCAGTCAATGGTCCTAGAATATCCAATAGAAATGAAATATCTCAAGCAATCAGAGGTATCTTTTGTAGGAGTTAAAAGGGTAAATTTTGGTCAACCAGAGGAATGTCTAGCACCAAAAATATGAAATCAAACAGTTGACACGGATAAAGAACAATATACATCAGCAACGAAACTCATTTTCCATTGAAATAATTATTAAATGGAAAAACCAAAATAACTTCAAACTTAATATTTGGTTACAAGATAACAGCATCCCTTGTTATGGTTATAGTTAATGTGTATTATATTCAATGTTATAATCCACAGCATAAGAATGAAGTAATGGACTCGAGGCATAGGTAGTCTAGGTCGTGGGTATCAGAACATAACATCTTGAATTCCATTCCTACTATGGGGAGGGACCCTCCCCCCACTGATCTACCCAACCTTGAAATCTCTGAATAATTAGCACAATGCATCCTGACTCCAAAAGTACAACACTGTATGTGAGCATGTAGTAGGTACACTTAGTTCACATATTAGGCTCAATCTTTACCTTCAGGTGTTTGCATCTACCAAAATTACTGAAGAGTTTTTTTTTTTTTTTTGGTTTGTTTCAATCTTTTCAAATCAATAATTGGCAATACATTAGACATAGAGGTTATCCATGCCATGAGTGCTTCAAGTCACATCTACAACCAATGTGGATGTGCTTCACTGTACCTACAGAATAAAGGCATGTAACTCTGCACTGCACCAAGAGTAGGAGTTCTGTGTAACATAGCATATTGACAAAATAGGGGTGACTCGCTGATGGAGCGGTTTAAGGGAGCCCACATATAGATATGGAGATGGACACCAATATAAATAAGGGAATCATAATTGCATTCACCAAACCACAGGACATGAACATAGATATGTATCATCACTGGCCGACTGTTATACATATCAGAATTCTAATATATTACAGATAGTCCACAATTGTGATCATCAAATATGAAGGTGCATATCATATTTTAGACAAAGCACAGTTTTTGCTTAAGATATTCATCACATCATATTTTACGCATACCATATTAGACATTTATTTTGTTCATGTCGACACTTTTAATGTAGCAAGTTGTCGGGGATAGCATTATAAATTATGTGTATTATATTGTTATATTTATATATATATATGGGCAGTGATCTAATGCAACAATTGTATTATAGTATAATGCAACCACACTTCTAGAAAACCATGTTTGTGGTACTTGTATGACCCAAAATTTTGCACACACTTTCATCATCTCAATAATCAATCCCAAGAAAAGAAAAAATCAATTTGAACCCTAGATATGGTCAAAATGAGTCCTATCCAACAACAAATCTAGACCATTCATTTGGTGAATTTAAAGATCTTAGCCTTTACAAACTCAAAATCATTTTTTCTTTTTTGTGATTGTTCATCTAATGCTAATAAAGCCGTCTTAACAAATTGGAAATGAAAAAAATCCTTCTAAGGCCTAGATCTAAGCATCTTATCGAAATGGACGGCCAATGTTAATTGGGCTAAAAAAATACTTTCTAGGTTGCATTTTCAATTTTTTCTTTTTTGTGATTGTTCATTAGAATGAAAATAGTGTATATTTTAAATTTTGGATCAAGCAAATGGCCTTAATATGGTTTTTGATGATTGTTATATTATATTACTATACAACCGTTGCATGAAATCACTGCCCTATATATCTATATATATATATATGGAAGAGACTACAAAAATACTTTCTAAGTTGCATTTTCAATTTTTTCTTTTTTGTGATTGTTCATTAGAATGAAAATAGTGTATATTTTAAATTTTGGATCAAGCAAATGGCCTTAATATGGTTTTTGAAGATTGTTTCTTGTATATTACTATACAACCGTTGCATGAAATCACTGCCCTATGGGCGAAAATGAACAGTATTTTCGTCCATAGGCTCGATGCTGTCCGATTTTTTCGGACATCAAGGATTAAAGACCGTCACAGACATAGCATGTCCGTGGTGGTCCATCATGAATATAGCATGTCCGTGATGGGATTTTTTCATGCAAAATTGACTCAAAAAATATATAGGGACCGCCATGGCTCCTGTAGGTCCATGGCGGTTGTTAGGCAAAATCATCATTGACATAGCATGTCAGTGATGGGGGCGAAACATTGTAGCAATTCGCTTAAAGGTGTTTTTAAGACTTTTCCAATATATATATATATCAGAAAATGCTAAGATTAGCCCACTAGCTCATATCAACATATGAGAGCAACAATCTGGGCCGATCTGACGGTCATGACCTTATTTCGTATTTTAATTTTAATTTTTTTTTCTACGAATCCAAATCACTTGAAATTTTAAGCATGTATTCTTCAAAAATAGGATAATCTAATAAAAATATCAAAAAAATAATTTGTAAGAAATAAATCAAGCAAACTACCCCTGAAAAGTCTCAGGGGTATTTGGTCGATTTATTTTTTGCGAATTATTTTTTAAATATTTTTATTAGGCGCGCCTTGATGAGAAGAATGGACGCCTACATTTTCAAGTTATTTGGAACCGTAGAAAACACATTAAAATTCAAATACAAAATGTGGTCGTGACCGTCAGATCGGCCTAGATTCAATCTGGGCCGTTGGGCTCATATGTTGATATGAGCTAGTGGGCTAATCTCAGCATTTTCCATATATATATATATATAAGAATCATAAAAGTACTCAATGTCATTATTGTATGAAGTTGATATTACGTTTTTTTAGCATATATAAAATCTAATTATCCTGGGGTTGCACTATCATAGCTCAAAACAAGGGAAGGCACACATATGGGGCTTGGAATGGGTCGGATAGGGTAAGTCCCCGCCCAAATCAGGTCCGAGACTATAACTAAAAATATATAGAAATTTATTTGATACATTTTATACTACATAATGAGTATTATTTATATGTAATTTATCCCAATCTATTCAGGTCGGGTTGGCCTCTAACCGGACCCGAACGTAGAACCAGACCCAGACCCACACCCAAACCAGGTTTGCATGATGCAGGCCCCATGAATTGAGGCATAGTCACTCTCAATAACAACATGAGTTATAGGCACCTTGGGCAATGAACATATGCATGGGCTCCTGATTCATGTTTTTAGTTTTCATATTTTGTCCACTGTGTACAAGGTAAATGCAACAACTCTGGCTCCAAAATTGACTTAACACAAACATTGTAAGCTATGGGATATTTATTATTTTTATTCTTGATTTCATCAACAAGATACTGCCCATTATTTGTGTAGATGAGGGTGTTTAAGCTTTCTCTATTTGATTAATTAGACATGTTTCAAAGCCTTCTTCTGATAAAGAAGGAAACAACATCAAGTACTGCTTTAAATCAAAGCATTAAATCACTAAACAAGAACGATTTCTTTTTCGCTTTTATTAAGAAGGAAAAACAATGGGAACATAGCGGTAGAAATAACTGTTGGCACAAATGAAGGCAGAGGCCATAGACACATTCGTAGGATTAAGATGTCGGAAGTGAAAGAAGCTATGAAAATGATGAAGATAGGAAAGGCTTTAGAACCATATGGTATCGCGATAGAGGTTTAGAAATGCATGGTGAAGATTGGCATTCATTGGCTGACGAAGCTGTTCAACAAGGTGTTGAGAACAAAGAAAATGCCAAACAAATGGAGGAAAAGTATTATAGTACCTATTTACAAGAACAAAGGACACAGAATTGTGATAACTATCAAGGGATCAAGCTTATTAGCCATACTATGAAGCTCTGGGAGAGAGTGACTGAGCAACGACTAAGGCATGAAACGGGCATATCTGAAAACCAATTTGGTTTTATGCCAAGAAGGTCAACAACTAAAGCTATTGTTCTACTTAGACAACTGATTGAGAAGTTTAGGGCGAAGGGAAAAGACTTTTCATGGTCTTTATTGATCTAAAGAGAGCTCATGATAGAGTACCTCGAGATTTGATTGGACGGGTGTTGAAAAGAAAAGAGTCTCCAGACACTACATCGACTTGGTGAGAGATATGTACGATAG